TCGTTGTACAGCGTCCTACAATTCTATCTACTGTATATTCTTTGACTCTAGTATTTGTAAGCCTACTATTTTATGTGTAACATCGGAGATGTAGTAAACCAAAACTTATGTGCGACAATGTTAACATTTTGGCGTCCGCCTTCTTTAGATAAAATTGTGATGCTGATTAATGAATAAGGCAAGCTATATAGGCCTTCAGGGGGTGAACAAATTCAGCTAAAATTAAACAATACGGGGTTCATTTATTGAAGCTTTTTATCCACTGTTAAGCAATGGGTTTAACTGTAGAGATTTCTATGGAAACTTTTTTATCCATTGTATATAATTAAATGGTACTCATTTCATAGCTGCGAAAAAAAATAGAGGCCATCCTGAAATTACGGGGGAAATCCCACAGCCAGGAGTTCGTGCTGTGTGAATTTGCCTGAAAGTTTCCCACACCAAGAAGATGTTACTCCTAGTACAAACTCATGAATCCATCGCATCGCGGTAGTCGCGTTATGCTACAATCGGCCGATTTGGGTAGACTGTGCAGACAGCTAATAAATATTCATGACCTACCGCGGTAGCAATCTTATGCTTCACTGATCTGCCTCATTAACGAACTCGCGGTAGATGTGATAGTGATCAGGGCGATAACGCGGCAATTGCGTTAAAATAGTTTTTGCACGACCCCTTAATAGGCATGAAATTCACAACAGATGAAGGTTGAAACTAGTATTAACAACCCAGTAACAATATTGCATTATAAGAACGTTACAGTTTTGTGTTGAAAACTTTATTTTGTAGAACCACAAATACATACTTAAAACCTAATTTCACAATGTCATGGAATGTTTGAAAATGCAGATGCAATTTCTTTTCTCCCATTATTTTTTCAAAAACTTGGATGGGGCTGGGCCATTTGCAATTTCACGTCATTGAATCCATTTCTCTAAGGTTTGATGTCTTTTCAATTACAATAGCCATCATTTTTAAAATAAAATCTGTAAATTTTCGCTATAGTAAAGGTAATATTCTAATAATTTTAAAGAACATACAGTGTATTCTTGCTCTAATTCTAGACAAAGAGTTCTTCAGAATTTGAAAATGCGACCTATATTGTATTTTAATTTTACTGCCATATTGTAAATGTACAAACACTGAGATATTTAAGAATATGGAAGTCTGCCATAAACCTCTTTGTTTTCTAGTAGGTCTATATTATACTTGCTTTATTACAATGTAAATGTTCTGTAATCATGCATTTTAACATTCCTAATTATGCTCCTTGGGCGATCTGCGGAAATTCTGAATGTTTACAAATTGACGGAGCATGTTGTTGCATAATTAATCATCTGAAACGATCCCTGATCAAAGATAGTGCTGTGATGATAATGTTCATTTCTCCAGGCAATGCAAGGCACAATGTGAATTTATTACTTTACTGGTAACATTGTAGCATAATCAAGGGCGTGGGCTGGTTACGGCCTGGGGGTGTGGCACGCTAAAAATGAGAATGCAGAACTAAATATTACCGAATGTGGAATTTAAATCCGTATTCCACTGAAAACTTAATGGTCAATTTTAACATTTTAACCAATAAGTGGATCTAATTTGCTTCCATGGGAGAGGGAGAATGTGCGTTGGAACCCTTGAACCCCCTCCTGTCTATGCCCATACACCATGATGTTTATGGCCTATTTAGTATAAATTTAGAAGTAAAATGTCTAAAAGGACTGTACAGCGATGATGATTCACTTAAAAGTAATCTATGATTCATGATCTGATGATAGTGACTGAACTATTTTTAGTCAATATGACATTTTCAACAGAAACAGAAATTGTTGCCAAGTTTTTTTTGCTCTATTGCTAGGCCAAGAATCCATCGTCATTTATCTCTTCCTCATATATATTAGTTGCTAAAATTATCATAGGTCTACAATAATTAAAGTGTGTAGAATTTCCAAACAGTATTTTAGTAAGAACATTTTGCAAAAAAAAAAGATTTTGGGTCTGTTAGGCTTGAGAAACCCTAGACTTTAAAGATTTTGAAGCAATTATCACAAACATTTTTTCGACTTTCTATTCCATGATCTGTCTTGACGTCATTAATCACGAGTTAAACTACTGTATGCAAATCAGTATTAGCCCAATATATGCAATTCTGTTAGAATGCTAACCATTGTCATTGGTGAATTGTCTATAATTTATTTGTTGCCTCTTCTCGTTTCAGATTGAATTTTTGTACTGGTTAAGTTCCTCTTCAAAAAATAAGGTGTGGTACAGTAGACGATCACCATGGCAACAACATCCTGTGGCACATGTGCCAAAATTGTTTTATTTATAACAAATTTGATATTTTGGGTAAGAAAATTATTTTTTCTGTTATATATTTCTTATGAGAATTTAATAATAGTATGTAGTGCATCATGTCAGTTAAAGCCTCTGTGTGTTTCGTATAATAATAATAATAATAATAATAATAATATAATAATAATAATAAGTAATAATAAATGCTTTATTTTAACACAGAAACTTGATTCACCAAAGGCTGTGCAAGGCCATAATTAAAAGTGGTATAAAATGTAGGAAAATCAATACAAACACAAAGTAGTAATAAATATCAAACCCATGAAGTTAAAAGCAAAACATTGCATAAATACTTAATCATCATATAAACAAGGTATGTATTATGTTAAAATTATTACCCTTGTAATTGGAGCAAATACCTATGGTACACACATAGGCCTACTCAGTAGCCTGAGGGAGCATTCAATAATTTTGAAACTAGCAGCAAACTGGCATTGATGCCTACCAGGTACCCACTTATACTCCTTGGTGCATAGAGAGACAACTGTAGGTTTGAACTTCCAACCTTAATGTTGAGAGGCTGAAATGTAATTGCTGCGTCAACTGCTTATAATATGATTATTGAGGAATAAATACATCAATAATGATTCGTTGATTGTTTTTATTCTTTTCATCATGATAATGCAACAAAATATAATAGATAATTAAAACCAATCTAGTCCTCAAATATTCAATTAAATTTAAATTATTGTATAGCTCACTTAGTTATAGTTATAGGAATGAAAGAGACTGCTTTTTCTGATTCTTCTTTTACAACAGCAATTTGTGAATTAACATTCAGCCAAAGGTTTATTCAAAGAATATATTATATATATATGTGTATAACTTTATTATATATTTCATAATTATAATTATCATATACTGTAGTATAATTATATATTATAATTTTTGTTTTTCAAGTTTTTAACTCAGTATACCAAGATTCAAACTGTATTGTCCAAAAAAAGAAATACTAAGCATAATAATTTTATTGCATGTACAATAAACATTATAAAAGACATCAAATTTAAACATAATAGAAACAACAAAGTATATACAACAGCATATTAGCATAACAAAAGTCAAAACAGAACAACTTTCAAAACTAACATTGAATTGCAAATAAACTGGAGGAAATTGTGTGAACAATTTATAGTCGAAAAATAAATATTTTTTTTCCTCATTTTGTTTCAGATAACTGGAATAATACTACTTGGAGTCGGCATTTGGGTAACCATAGATAAAACAAGTTTGGAGTTTTTAACGCTGTTTCATCATCCTTCCCTGAAAGTGTTAGCTTATATGTTGATTGGAATCGGAGGATTTGTCACCATTTTGGGATTCCTTGGATGTTTTGGAGCATGTCACGAACAGAAATGGATGATTATTACAGTATGTCAAATAAAATTTGTTATTTTATTGTTTTCGTCTGGAACATAATATATATGTCTCAATGTAGGAAGGAGAAAGAAAGATTTTGTGCTGACCAGATGTTTAAATAGGGCCTAAAAAATAAATTGTTTGACCTTTAATGCTGAAAATTTTATAGGAGGGGCGGGTGCAAAAAAGTTTTATTTTTAGCCTTTTTTTCTCTCTTGTCACCAAAATTAGCATATTAAATCGCAATTCTTGCAATTAAGCCTGTCTCACTACGGTATTTGTTTTTCAAAGGGTATTATTCATGAGACTGAATAAAAATAACCCATATTCAATATTTTGCAATGAATTTAGGCCTAGAATGGCGATACCTTACATCAGACACCAAATTTAGACTACTTTCTTGTGAAAAATTTAGAAAAATAAAGACGACTTTTGAAACTATTTTTCTGTGAGCTAGGGGCGGGCGCTGGAGGGCAAACAAACAATTTTTTTTAGGCCTAATTATAATGATATGTCACTTTTGTGTGTTTTTCAAAACAGCAAAAGATAACTAGATTTAGGTGCTGACATTTGTACTGGAAATTGTTTGTTATGATTTGTTTATTGCAAAAATAAACAGAAGAAATATTTATTATAATATAGTAGTATATAGTTGTATCAATTGTGTAACTGTTAATTATTATTTTTTTATTTTGTTTTATATACACAGTATTTTGTTGTTGTATTGCTACTTCTCCTGGCCGAAATTGTCTGCGTCATCCTAGTGTTTGCCTTCCAATCGGAAGTGGAAAAGTTTGTGGGCGACCAACTAGATGATTCAATACAGAAGGAATATGGCACTGAAGGCGATGAGGGGGTAACTACTTCAGTTGATGCCCTCCAGATCTCAGTAAGTTTGATAATTAACTTATTGAAACTGAAACCCAACATTTATAAATTGTTCATTTCTGTAAAAAATTGATTTTTTGTACTGGAAATTGTTTGTTATGATTTGTTTATTGCAAAAATAAACAGAAATATTTATTATAATATAGTAGTATATAGTTGTATCAATTGTGTAACTGTTAATTATTATTTTTTTATTTTGTTTTATATACACAGTATTTTGTTGTTGTATTGCTACTTCTCCTGGCCGAAATTGTCTGCGTCATCCTAGTGTTTGCCTTCCAATCGGAAGTGGAAAAGTTTGTGGGCGACCAACTAGATGATTCAATACAGAAGGAATATGGCACTGAAGGCGATGAGGGGGTAACTACTTCAGTTGATGCCCTCCAGATCTCAGTAAGTTTGATAATTAACTTATTGAAACTGAAACCCAACATTTATAAATTGTTCATTTCTGTAAAAATTGATTTTTTCAGCCAGGCATAATTTTCATTTCAGTGGTTTACATACATGTTGGAAAAAATGCATGAAACCACAAACAGTGCCTTATATTTAAAAAAAAATTACTTAAAACTTTATTTCTGAAGAGCTATAAAGCTATGCCAAAAAACTTAAACAAATCTATAAAAGAATGTAGTATGTGCTATGTAAGTGTACTGACTACCATTAATTGTTAATATAACAGTTCCTCTTGATTTCTTCAACAGTTAGAATGCTGCGGAAAACATAACTACACTGACTGGGAAACTTCTAATTGGAGTAAAACAAACATGTCACTCTCAATGCCATTTCCAATTTCATGTTGTAAGACAAAAGAGGGCGCCCTAGAGAAACTGATCAATAATGAAGCAGTGGAGCCGGTAGATAGAGAGAAGTGTTACAGCTCACAACCTAATGAGTTTATGTATAGTGAAGTGAGTTTATCATTCATTTTAATTTGTCATACATAATATTAAATTTGATGTAACTTTCTTCAGGTTCTCACATTGTTCTACGAATGTTATGTTTTCAGTTACCAATTTTCAACAAGCAACGAATGGGGGAGTGTCTATCCTCTCTCTTCGCTGGCGCACATCGTAGTGCTAGGTGTAAAAACACCTAGAATATTGGTAGCGATGCGGTGTGGTGCCGCGATTGTAAAAGTTATTTTGACCATTTCCTGAATGAAAAAAAATGTCAAGCAAACCGTTCACTATTGAAAAATTAGTGCATGGTTTGGATAGGAAAATAACATCATGATTGACTAATATGAATTAAACTAACAATGATTAAAATGTGGGTTTTATGTCTTTTCAGGGATGCTACGACTCTTTATATGAAATTTTCCTGGAGAATTTGTGGGTAATCGGTGGTATTGGTATAGGCATTGCAGTTTTACAGGTATTGTCAATACAAATTAAAAAATAATTACTATATCAGTATTATATGTGTATATATCATAATTTAACCAGATGTACAATTGGTTCTCTTTGCATTCTAAATATGCTCACAATTTCTAATAACATTTTTAATAATTATATTGGTCTAATAAATCACTATATCTGGCAAAGACAAGCCAAACCAGTCATTCATCGCAAAAATTGATTTTGAGTTATTAATAAGTTGTTTAAAAGTGAAATGAGAGCTATAAAATTGTAAAAAAATAATTAAAATCCAACATTTCCTTATGAAGTTACAAGCGTACACGCAGCAGTTTAAAGAACAATATATGAGAAATCAGCCTTAAAAGTTTATGATTTCGGGCATTTCTCATGCAGAAACTACTGTATCATCAAATCCTTGAAAAGTGTTGTTTTAACATTGAAAATGGGGAAAATAACAGCATAACATGGTATAGATATATAAAGGTTAGTTTAGTGTAATATAAAAGATATTTTTTAAAATTTGACATTCCAGCATGTTTGGCCATTTTCTCTGAAACATGATTTGCAACGAGTGACTGGTTTGGCTTGTCTTTGCCACATATACAGTATCAATAATCTCTAAACTGAATATCAAAAATTATCCAGAGAATCAAATATTTGACCTGAAGAAGTGCCTTGCATGCACTAAAACATGTCTCATTAAATTTACATGCTATTATCAAAAGGTTTGTCCTAACTATCAAGTTGTACAATGACAATTACCTTAGATTTGCCCATATATGGGTGCGATATGACATCATCATGCACATAAATGGGTGTGGTATGATACCATCTCGCCCATATATAGTAAAGCTACTCATATTATTGAGTCAAATATGCACCTTGTTGTTAGAACAAGTTCTTTTCTTGCAGGTCCACACACTTTTTATAACTACCATTTTCCTGGCTAAGTTGACAAAAGATCGGTATATATATGTGCGAAGTCCTCGCAACTACCGATCAATCCGTTCTCCAACTGATGATAAAACATATGAGAACAACACCTATATGCGTGACACAAGATGTTAAAATGCTGCTGGCTTTGTAGTTATGGTACATATATGCTTGCCTAGCCTGCGGGTATGTCTATGAATGCCGCAATGACTTGCCTCCTTGGCCAGAATACTGCAATAGCTACCTGTCTCCCTAGCTTGCATACTTGAATTCTGTATTACCTCCTTCTCTGACCCACTTGCTCTTGATGCTACCCATCTTCCTAGTCCAGCATGCATGTATGTGAATGCTAAGTATCTGCCTCCCAAGCTGCGTACATCCCTATGAATTCTGGCCCTCATGCGCAGGAATGCTATCCCCTTCTAGCTTGCATGCATGCCCACAAATGCTGCAATAACTGCCTCCCTAGCCTGCATACATCCCTATGAATTTTGTAATACCCTCTTCTCCGGCCCTCGTGCCCAGGAATGCTACCCCCTTTTCTAGCCTGCATGCATGCCAGAAAGCTGCAATATCTGCCTCAGAAGCCTGCATACATGTCTATGAGTTCTGTAATATCTACTTTTCTGGTTCGCATGCCCAGGAATGCTACCCACCTCCCTAGCCTGAAGAAATGCATTTGAAAGCTTCAATAAGGGGTTTTTACCAAAAATATTTGGTCCTTTTCTTTGGTAGACTAGAGAGAGGATTGTTTTTTTGAGACCTATAAAAACTTAAAATGAACAAGAAATTTTTTCTATAAAAATACAACACATTTTAACTTATGACTGGATGCTACATGATCAGTCTCAAATTATACATATATTGTTTTCTCTTGCAGCTTTTTGTGTTAGTCTTAGCCCTTTCATTGGTACGCAATTTAAAAGATGATTATGAATGAAGAGGAGAATGAGGATGTGCCCCGACAATGCAGTGGGTCTACTTAGCAACCAGTCTGAGAGAAAACCTGGATAGCACCATTCAACAATTACCCAGCATGCATGCATGCTTTTATATTTTCATTTTCAAAAAAAAATTGTTCAATTTATAACATTATAAATTATAATGGCATATCATATTAATCTTAATAAATAAATATTAATCAATAATATATGATGAATGGATACTGATGAAAATATGAACTTTATTTTACTGGTTGATATTGTTTATATTTTAGTATATTAAATAATTCTTTGACCCAGATGACATTTGCAATGCATGTAACGTCTGTTAAGAGCATTTTTTATCAAATGTATAACATACATGATTACTATAACAATGAAAATGGTCACTTTTATAAAGAGTAATTTATATATAAGTTACATTTTATTTCAAGATATGCCAGATTTTTTTTTTTTACTTTCATGCGACATCGAATTAGGAAACAAATTTTGATGGTTTCATCCTAGACACGGCATAAGATTCTGACCATAAAAAAAGAATTAACATTTTTTAAAAGTTGAAACATCAACTCTTAAAACGACTGAGGAGTATATTAATTATATGTATTTGAATCTAGTTTTACCAAAAGATGATTAATGTACTAAAAATATCTTCAACATACACCATTCAAATTGCCTATTTTACAAAAGGTGTTTTCACTACAGTAGTTTTTGTACACTCATCAGTAGGGGGGTCATCTTGGTTATTTTGGATCTGATAATAGTCAAAAATAACCAGAAAACATAAGTATGGCATAATTATAATAATGATATCATTATTTTATGATTGAAAAATTATGTATGCCTATTAGTAACTCATAAATATTTGATAACTAAATACTAGAATCCATTTTAATTAGAGATCTTCCATTGTTTAGTAACTAATTGCCAATATCATTTCTGTTAAAAGTCATCCAAACTGTCACGTTTTATTCGACAAAAACATGTGACATGTCTAAAGATGGTCTGATGACATCACATGACCATATATAGGCACATCATGACTATATATGGGCATACAACAGTTATGATGACATCACATCATGACCATATATAGGCACATCATGACTATATATGGGCATACAACAGTATCTGTCAATGCAAATTTGATAGTCTATACAGAGCTTAAGAAAATAGAGTATTGGAAATAATATTCAAATGAACTGTCTGTCAGGATTTTATCATCAGTATGAGCTTTAACTATCTATAATGGGAAATGAACATTAGTTTTAAAATGAGTTAAACCAAAATATTCTAAAAGTTTACACAGGAAAATGTATATGCTTTGTATAAGACATTTGTACAAATATGAGGACTTCCAGTATCTTATGAACAAACTATGAATGTTAATGAGTGAATTGTTTGAATTTGGTCAAATGAGTGATATTAGAAAAACACATTTTGATAAAGAATGTTTGTGGAATTTAGGTTTGGAAGTTTAGTTTTAGAATCTGTAGATTGTATGTACAGTATGTGCATTATAAAGTAATAAATTCTTCTTTAATTGATTACAATTATTAAAATTATTTTTATTTAATAATGACTCCATCCTATATCTGCCAACTGGAATTTATATGTTAAATACTACATAGAAATTCCAAGTAAATTCCAAAGAACCATGTGCCAATTTTTAATTATTTTTTTGTTAATAATAATAATAATAATAGATGGATTTTTAGCGCAAATAAACAAGGTTTCTATGCGCTCGGGACTAGATGATCATTATTATTATTTACTTTTCTGTCATTAATAGTAATACTGATATTATTTGTTTTATGTTATTTTTGACATGTTATGTAATGTATTAGCAAATACGTAATATGGGATGAAGCAAAGATATCTTTATTCATTCATTTTAAAAATGTTACGAGGCACTTTATACATTTCTACAATAGTATATGATTAATTCAGTTGAATAAACCTAGAGAAGTGTTGGCTATATATAGTGAGCATTTTCCAGTTTTGAAACATACAAACAAAATTTATTGTGGAATGCTGTGTTTTATAAATGTTTTATTTTTGTATCCTTGTATATAGCAAACTGTTGAAATATAGGTTGGTTTATTATCTTGTTTTTAATGTTTTGGATAAAATTGCACAATATTTTAGCTTTGTATATATTTATATATAATATATATATATGTGTGTGTACTGTATACATCGTATTGTTTACTATTTCCCTCTCCTGTACAGGAAAAAAAATACCCTTTCACAAATTGTGTGATTTATTATTTGCTTGGATAATTATTTCGGGGTTTCATCCAATCATTTGATTGCAAATCATGCAATCATATTACAAGGTTTATTTAATCAAATGGATTGTACTGCACATAATAATTTATAAATTTAACTGTTAGTTATTTCAATGTTTTAAAATGTTGTTTTATCTGTCATCCAAAGAATATCATTATGTATACAAAAATGAGTTATATATTATGATATTGAATTATGTATTAACACTATTCCTGCAGTACTTATCCACATAGCCTAATAATAATAACTACAAATTCTTCAGGTGCTACGTAAACATCTAAAATATATTGTTTGCTAACAGATAAAAATAGCATTAAATTTTCAAACTACAAAAATGTACATAAAATTTCACATACCACTTTCAAATTTGTTAGGTTAAATTAATTGTTATGCTCTCTGTCCAGAATATTTATTTGATAAAAAAATCATGGGACATGCCTAAATATGGTCATGATGACATCACGCCATGAACATATATAAGCACAAATCAGTTTTTTGTCAGTCTGGACAGAAGATTTGGTTGCAAGATGGTTATTTTTGTTGCGCACTTGAAGGGTTGATTGATGTTGCATTAATTTCCTTTGTTAATTGATGTATTTTATCATTCAACCTCTACTATAATGGATCTTTCCGAAGTGTCCATAAAACTTAAAAACTGACCAATCAAAACAGAGCCACGAATACGCGCAATAATATCCAAGGGGGCGTGGCTTAGCGAAAAGGTCCATTAGCCATTGAAACAAATGAAGTTAAATGAAACAATGTTTTATACAAATGATATGTAAAATAAATTTCTGTCTATAATTTCATTTTGTGCAGGTTTTGCTAAAGTAACTAATTACCTGATGGGGACTAAATATATTTTGTTTTTCTCCATGATTTGTCTAGCAGTATAGTATACACATTAATTTATTGTATGATTTGCAGTTATATAGTTTTATGTGAGCATCCAAAATTTTTCCAGAACTAACAAACAAAACAGTAGATAAAAACCCAATAATAAAAATATATTCAGCCACTGAAAATTAATCAGTTTATGGCGGCCATTGACTAGACATTCTAGCTGGTTCACATTAATGATTTCTTCCACAGATTTAGGTATGTTTTTAAGTGGATGAAACTACTTTGTATGCCAACGAGTTATCCTTGTTTGTATTTGAAAGTTGTGCTGTTGGTTAATTGATGATTAGTTATCCGATTTTGTATGTTTTATTGTATTCTACCAAATAAATACTGTGTATAGCTAAAGATGACTTCTTACTTTATATTTTATACAGTATTTTTATACGTAAAATATATGTATATATGAACAAAGAAGACTACAAAAGCATATGTAAATTTCAGGTTTATTCGAAACGTTTTGCCGGTTAGGGCTTCATCAGTGGACTAATATCGTATGTTACAAATAACATATAATAAGACAATGGCCTGTTACAGTCACATGACAATGCATTGACTACTACTATTTGTCCTACACATCTAAATGTAAATCTCAGTATACATGCGAGCAATATCCATTAGTGTATGTAATCGGGTATATTCCTATAATGTGTATGTCTAATAGGTGGGTGTGGATATGTGTAAATATCCACAACTACCCACACCCCTACACACACACACACACACACACATACACACACACACACATATATATATATATATATACATATATATATATACAGTATATACATATATACAAACATACATATACATATACAAAGATATATATAAAGATGTGAATACATATGTATAGAATATAATAAAATAATCAATAATATATCGGACAGGTTTACATAATATTAGAGTACATTATATGAATGGGCATTCACTAGCGACAATATTCACGGCGCCCAAAGAAAAACAGGGGTGCCCTAAGGAATGTGATACATGTGCCTGTGCTGTGAAGTCCAATCGATGTTTAACCAAGAACACCGTGTACAAGATAACATGTTCGCATTGCGATATAAATATTATACATTGGTAAAACCAAGTGCTAGTATTACAGCGGCAGTAGTACAGCACAGGGACGTAGCCAGGATTTTGAAAGTGGGGGGGGGGGGAGCCGTTATGCGAGGTGTGTAGGACCCCGTGGGGGAGGGGTTCCAGGGGAGGCCCCCTGGAAAGTAGCGCTCTCTGAAATGATAAAGTGAAAATTGCAATAAATGCATCATAAATAATATTAGTACTCTCTTAATGTGAAAGAGTTTTCATTTAGAGAGTAAGCCTAACAATAATCATATAAAACTCAACAGTGGGGGATCCAGGAATTCAATAGAGTGGTGACCCAGGGAGGGACTTTCACAGACTGAGGAACCACCCACCTCAGCCCCACTATGGTTGGGTCTATGATTAGGGCACCTCTCGATGGCCGGAAATTACTTAAATTTAGATAGGGGATCTATATTTTTCTTTTTTTTTTCCATTAAAAAAAATTAGGGGGAGAGGGCCTTCAATCCACCACTGCTCAAAAACATTCTTGATCCAAATAGTGATAATCACGAAAAATGGGCATGTAAAAACAAATCACATCCTAAAAACAAATTTATGCACTCCCGCCTCATCAGCAGTGACTAAGACATACTCTGGGTCAGGTGTCGACTCGATAGAGTTTAATTTCATATCCAGTAAAGGCGCAATCTGTTTTGAAATGTGGAGGTGGGGTGGGAGGATATTTCGTGAGTCGACACCCACCTCATACCCACCATGGTTGGGTCTATGGTGCGAAAATTGGAGGAAATAGTACCTCTAGATGACCAGAAAATGATATTTTTTCGTAAAATTCATCATCACATCACCATTATACAGTAAACAATGCTGTAGCCAGAATGTTTCAAACGATACAGAACAATATCATTGTGGACCCACTTTACGCGTAAATTTAAATAATGTGGATCCATTTTATGCAAAAATATGAAAAATCTGTACTCATTTTCTTAAAATTGACCTATTTTACGCAAAATATGAGAAATCTGGACCCATTTTTTTAAAAACATGACTCATTTTGTGCTAAAACTGAATAATTTAGACCTATTTTTGAAAATGTAGACCCATTCTTTGTGGACTCAATAGAAAAATTGTGTGGGACTGTCTAACTGTCCCAATAGCTGGCTACAGCATTGAACATATACTCAAAATGAAGCGCCAACAAATTGATCTTTTTATCAGGGATTTTCGGCAACCATAGAGATCTTATTAATATGCGTGATGTACCATAGAAAATAAAACTTATAGACATTTAATTACACATAAACATACTCGAATTCAACCCTGGCCATCAGGCGCAATCTCGGTGGTCTAGAGATACGATGCCAGGCTAGTGATCGTGGGTTTGAGTCCCACCCTAGAACAACTAGCGATTTTTTTCGCAATTGTTTTCAAACATACCGGTACTGAGTATTCAGTACATTTCTACGTCTGGTAGGGCAAAATTACACCTATACTTATAAACACTGTTTTTGAGTATGTACTTTACATACTTCAAAGCCGTGATTTCTCAACCACCTCAGCCCCACCATGGTTGGGGCTGAGGTGCGAAAATTTGAGGAAATAATACCTCTAGATGGCTGAAGATGACATATTAAAATTCATCATCACATCACCATTATATAGTCAAAATGAAGCGCCAACAAATTTCTCATACTTTTATCAGGGATCTACTTAATATCGAAAACAAATTAGGCCTAACTATTAGCTTACTAAGCTTTTAACAAATCACAACTTACTTTTTTGCCTTTAGCATAATTTTCTTCACTTTTTAATATTATTAGTATTATTATCTAATATCACCATCGTCATCATAATCATTGTCATCATCATTAATATTATCATTACTAGTAGTACTGTAGTATTAAAACTTTATAAAGCTTGCAAAATGATAAAAACCAAACTGAACCATAGAATATCAAATTTCTGTATCTGAAAGACCTGGCCTGATCTAAATCTTAAATCTTACAGATTTAAGATTTTAAAAAAATCACGCTTAAGCCTGTGTTACTATAGTAGGCATATGTGTGCTCATTCATATTTACGTATAGTGGTGGCGCCAGGATCTGCCCGACGGAGGGGCTAAAAGCCCCGACGGGTGGGGGGGGGCTAGTGGAGCGAATCGAGTCTCGCTTGGCTGGGGACCAGAGGGGCCGCCTAGGCTAAAGCTTACTACTTATTTGATAGGCATCGAGTTACTATAATATGACTTCATGTAGGCTATGCTTTCTAATGTTGAAATCAGCTTCCAAAACCAGAACATTTTAAATAAAGCAAGAAACAAAGAGTATGTAATGTAACCATCTAATTTATTTTCAAATCCTCATTCTTAAAAGTGAAATTCTATATTTTGGAAATTTTGCATAAAATCTGTCAACCACGCTGTCATGGTCGAGGTTGCTTCACCTATCACGATGTATTCCAACCATCAACAGGATATCTAAAAGAGCTTTTGTCATAACAGAACGCAAATTATTTTTAATTAGTCTCATTGAATTATTATTATTATTATTATTATTATTATTATTATTATTATTATTATTGTTATTGATGTTGTTGTTGTGATTAAAGGTTAACACAAACAATATGGTGGCTAAACGAATATTACTGTACATGTAAATATTTTTTTTATTTGTTTGTTCCCCCGACAAAATTTATCGTCTTCCCCGACGGGGGGGGGGGGGCTATGCTTCCCCGTCGGGGGCTGTAGGCCTAGATTAGAAGTATTTATTTTGAGTGATCCTGGGAAAGAATTTATATTGGCTAGCAAGAACAAGCTCTAAAATTTTAACACTGTGTACAAAGGTGGGGGGGGGGAGACGCGGCTCCCACGCCCCCCCTCTATATGTCTCTCTATGTTAATTTTAATGCACAATAGAGCTACTACCTTGGCCCCAGCCAACTGAACCGAGGGAGGAAGCAGTGGGACCCCTAAGCCATGAATGCACTGAACCTGAACCTTCTTCAAAAAAACGTTAAAAGTTTTGCGTTCTGGTGGCACCTACAGCTGCTTTAAAAAAAATTATTTCTATTTTTTATTATTCAAAATCTCGCTTTTCATTTCGTTGAAAGTTTAGATAGAAACCCCTCTAGACATTTCCAATTGTTTCATATTCATCATTTGCATATTTTATTTTAACACGATTTTAGTAACCTTTATTTTTATAGGCCTATGAAATGAAGTATTTTAAGATAATACTAAATGTTCATTAAAATCACTAAAAATTATTTTTAAAAAAATAAGGCAAAAAATGCAATTTCGCTGTACAAAATAGGCCTAATGTATCCTCGCTGATTGCTCCGCAGGTAATAACACCAGTACCATACGTTCAACTGAACCAAATATATTATAATCACATGCATAATAAAATCACCTGACTCTCTCCCTGACGGGTTCCGGGGTCGACGAGGCTTCTTGTCGGTTATACGTCGGTAACCCTACGCTGAGTCTGGGCCCGGGTCTTGGCGAAGGCCCGAGCCTTGGCGAGGTTGAGTACTTAGCCTTGCGCATCGTATGATCAGACCATATATATATAGGATCTGTGTTATGATGATCGCTTGGCGGTGATACTTGACAGGACTAGGCGATTAACAGACTGCAGGGGAGATGCACAGGGAGTCTCGGTCGACTGACAGGCACTCGGGATGGCTATGCTAGGTTCAGTGCATCATCGTGGCTTAGGGGTCGCACTGCTTCCTCCCTCCGTTCAGTTGGCTGGGGCCGAGCAAGTAACTCTATCGTGCATTTAAGTGACCAGCGTACGAAGGGCGAAAACTTGAATACTAAAGAACAGAAACACACTTTTACAATTGGTATTCACTCGTAGTGGTCTCCAGAATATAAACACCTGCTCTCTGGATGTTCAACGGAGTTACTTTTTCCGAGTTGTTTTGTGATGACGCTTCCATTCACAGAGTCCTTATGGTGCCGCAGAACGCGACCGTATGATCCTTAGGTGCAGAATACAAAACCGGAAAACAGCAGGGTCAAATAATCCTCCAATTCCGACAAAAACAGCTATTTTTAACCTATTTGTTTTTTGGTCATTTCTCCATTCACAAGGTCCGTAAGTGCCACAGAACACGTTAGTATGATCCTTAGATGAAACATAAAGAATAAAAAGTTTCTTTTTTAAGTTTAAGAGATCAAATGAAAACCACTTTTCGTCGATTTTGGCACAGTCCGTGACATATGGAAATACTTACTATTTTAATTTTTTTTTAAAACAAAAATATAATCTTTTTTCCGTGAAAACAATGACAAT